TTGATTATTAAAAATGTGATATAGCCACATAACATCAAGTAACATCTGTGATGTTACTATTATCTTACAAACCCCAAGTATCTCTATACAAGTTTCATATATCTTAGCACCAAATTACTATGCCAAGTGCCACAGCACAAGAATCTTAAGTATTCCTGACATGAACCCCAAGTGTTCTTACATGAACTCCAAGTATCCTTGCACAAATCTCAAATGCCTTTGCATGGATCCAAGTACCTAAACACAAGCCCCAAGTGTTTCATATACGAATAACAAATTATATAAGCAATATTTCTAGTTGCCTCTACACAGTCTCTACTACCCCAAGCATAGTATCATTTAATGTTGTTTGAACCTCTACTATCCTAACTACAATGATATCTAATGTTGTTCAAACCCCCATTATTCTGAGTACAGTATCAAATAATGTTGCTTAAATTTCTACTATCTCTGCTAGGTAAAAAGATATATAAAGGGTAGCTTTTACTCTTCTTTGCCAATTCTAAGTTCCTATACTTCGACCTAAACCTTTCTACTTTTATCTTTAACTTGTAAAAATAATATTTTCTCTCTAGGGTAATTCTTACAAGCAAGGTTGTTACTGTGTGTTTATTTAATAAAAGTTAATCCATATACTATTACTATTTCAAACTATTTGTCTGCTACTATGTAGTAAAATGAACTACTACACCTTCACTTCATATATATTTGCAATAGTCAATCACTGTACTGGATGACTTTGTTACTTAGTTGTATTGTACCAAGAAGGCTACAACTTTGTAACAATAGGACCAATTTTAACATTATCTGATTTTAGCAGCATCTTCAAAAATCATATAAGTAAAAATTAATTAGCAAGGATAAAAAAGAATATACTATAGTACACTGATCAAAGTACCTAGGTTTAATACAATTTACCTATTAAAAACTTACAAAGAGTTAGGTACATTATGCTATAGCAGGTCTATGTTGCAAAAAAAAATTCAAACATATATATATTTCATATTTATAATAAGCAGCTTAAAAATTTAAAAAAAACCTCATATTCAATTAATAAAGATTTCGTGTTTTGCATTAGAATATTTTGTATGAAAGTACTAAAAAAGAGATATTTTGGTTAGTATATTACAGTAATAGATAACTTATAGTTATTTAACTAGTGCTTAGCTTTTGCTTTTGTAATTATAATAAAAAAAAATATTTAATCAGCAATCTGAACATTGCTAATACTATTTAGTATTGTTTATAGTATTCTATTAAAAAATTTTTTTATAATTAAGAAAACCTGAGTACTATTTACCATCCTATTAGCTTAATTCTTGAGTTTAAATATAGCATCTAGTTTTATACAAACTATTCCTAGATACTAATCAATTAAAAAAAATAAAAGCTTTGAATAAAGCTTTGAGTACTATAGCAGTACTAATGTTATAGATAGAAAGTTAGTAATTAAATTAAAGCATCTGTTTATTATTTGAATTAGTAATATTATATTTATTTAGCACACTGTTCTATTATTAGAATTAGTAATATTATATTCATCTAGCATGCTGTTCTATTATTTATATAAACTAAATTTATTATTTATCATGCTTTAGTTTACAAAATATTACTATTTTATTACTAGCAAAATAAAATAATAATATAATATATAATAAAGGTAGAATAGAAAATATAAATTCAAATTTGACTTTAATAATAGCAAGATTATAAATTAACCAATTATATTCTATTGGCTGGTCATGTGGAATATATAATTTAGGAGCATGCCTTTTGGCCAAGGGGCATGCCTAGGGCATGTTCTCTGGGCAGAGACTCAGAAAAATTTTAAAAAGATTAGAAAACAATAAATCACAATTTTTACTAAATATCACATTATAAAACAATTTTTCAGTTTTTTTATGCATATGATGTTACATTACTACACTACAAATATAATTGGTTAGTTATTTTATCCCACTAATCATATTTTCTATTTATTTGTGTAACAATATATAAAATCAATAGAAATAACAATAAGCAATCTATTAAAGACAAATTCTTAGTATTCTAAGCACTGTTTCTAGTATATTCATTCTAAACACATTCAGCTATTTTAAAAAATAAATCATTGTGCTTTTATAATAAACTAGTAAACACTAGTAAATTGTTGTACTTTTATAATAAACTAATAAACATTAGTAAAGTTTTTTTTTTTTTCTTTATGATATTTGAATAAGTTTTTTGAAACTTTAATTTTATAATGGCTCTATTACAAATCATAAGCTAATAATATTTTAGTATCAATTTTTTTTTTAATGCCACCTTCATGTAAAATTACTGTTTCAACATATGCAAATGAATTTCATGAATATTTTTTTGCTGATCATGGAACTTTGATGTATCAATTTTGTGACATATCTGTTAATTATAAAGTAAAATCAACTATTACAACTTATATTAATAGTGTGAAGCATATTGCTAATAAGGCTACGAAAGAATAATATAGAGTAATATTAAAGCAATTAACAATACATACTGCAATTAGTGTTGCAGAAAAAAAAAAGCAACCAATTTTTGACTTAGTTGAGGCATTTGTAAGTGCAAATATTTCATTAGAAAAGGTTAACAAATTGCATCCATGGCTTAAGGATAATCTTCATAATAGTGGTTCTATTCCTTTGGCTGATGTTTTAAGATAGAAATATTTAAAGCCAGTATATAAAATGCATATTGTGACCATTAAATCAAAATTTTTTGGCAAGCCAGTTGTAGTAATAGTTGATAAAACTACAGACAATTGTGCTAGAAGTGTAGTTAATATTTTATTTAATTACAAAAATGTAACTAAATTAGTTTTAGTAGATTTTATTAATGAAGTTAACAATACAACAGTAAGGCAAATCATTCTTTGAACTTTAGTTAAATGGTCAATTCCATTTAATATTTCTTAACTTTTTGTCTCAGATTCAACATCATATATAAAAAAGTGTTTTCAAATTATCTTAAAATCTGTAATGCCTCAAATATTTTATATAATATGTATAGCATATATTTTAAATCTAATTGGGTATGTTTATTAAATAAATAGGTAATGTCAAGGAAAAACCAAACTTCGATTATATAAAATTTATATAATTGAAGTCTGGTTTTTTCTTGATACTATACAAATATTAATAAATTTATTTTATTAAAGTGGTGTAATTATCAATAAATATTTATTTTTATTTTTTCTTTCTTAGAGAGGCATGGTTATCAGTTGCACAATTCGATATTGTTAAAAATTTATTTGCTGAAATTTAGCAATCTATTTCCAAATGCAAAAGTCAGAGAAGCTGATATTTCTTGTATTTGCATCATTATGATGTTGAAATCCCCCAAAAAATTTCTCTTTATAATAAAACTAAATGGAACTCCTGGTTTCAAATAACATTTTATGTCATAGAAAATCTAAATTATATACATAGGTTTTATTGTGAAGAAAAAAATGAAAACCCCTCTCTAGCTGTTGAGAAAGTTGGTAAAATTTTTAATAATTCACAACATAATTTTCTTATTGAAATTTATCTTCATTTTATTAAATATTTTGGGCAAGTTTTTATAAATGAATTGGATTTTTTTTAAACCCAAAATATGTCTATTTTTTCATATATTAAATTTTACCTTCAACAACTTGATTTATATATTAAAAATAATCAAATCTTATTTATTCTTTCTTCTGATATTTAGGATTTTATTATTATTAATAATTATTTATCTAATTCTTTTTGTTCAATTTTTCAAAACATCTTTAATATTGCTTATAACAAATATACAATTCATATTCAAAATCATTCTACTAATTTCTATTTCAGGCTATACAAATTTTTGATTCACTTTTTGTTCATCTTATTACTGCTAACCATAATCTTCATTCTTACCATATTATTAATGAATTAGATAATTTATCTTCTTCTTTAATGCATGAATAATCAATTTATTGTAATTTAGAATTAGCAATAATCAAATATAATAATTTAGCAGAATTTTAGAAAAAATTATCTGGGCAATTATTAGAATTAAGCAAAATTGCACAAGAATATATTTGGCTTTCAATTTCTTCTTGTACAGTTGAACACAACTTTTTAAATTATAATTATATTTTGACAAAAGATCAACAAAATCTTAAATTGGATTCATTACAAATGCTAAATATAATGTATTTTAATCAAAATTAACAAAATTTTGATTAAATTTTATATTAAAATAAAAAACAATATTTAGCCATTATCAAAACAATTTTTTACAAAATAATATCGAAATTTTTTTGGGTCCCTGCCTCTGAGGCATGCCCTCTAACTTTGTGCCCCCAACCCTAGTCTAGTATTATTGTCAAAATTTTCACTTTCATGTGACCATGTTTAAAAACTTTAAATTCGTTTAAGTTAGGGTTAGTGTTTATAATAGGGCTAGGTTTTAGAGAAGTAATAGTAAAATTACTCGAAGAATTTTTTTGTTAGAGCTCAAAAGGTGGTTTCTTATACTAGTTTTTGAGAAATAAGTGATTTTTGAAAAATGAACATTTTGTTTTGATCTTCCTAATTGTGTAATATTATATTAAAATGAAACATACTATTGAATGATTATCACATAAAAGTGAAAATTTGACTACTACACCAATGGCACCTTTAAATTTTTTGTACAGTTACATGATAAAATATATGTACATATGACAATCATCAATTATATTTCAGTTATTAATATAAAATACATAATTTGATATGTAGAATAAATATTGATGTAAAATTTTTTTTTTTTACACATAAAATAGAATTATTAATAAATAAAGTTTATTCAAATGAAATTAATACATTACAAAAATGTTCAAAGTGTTAAAAGTTTATATCCAAGAATCAATTTATTAATAAAAAAGATCATGTTGTTAAATATTGTAATGAGTGTCATCAACAGTCTTTAATTTATTATAAAAAGTCACTTGAAAATAATGAAAATGATGAAAAAAAATCTTATCTTCTAAAGAGATGACCAAAAAACTCTATAATGATATTATGATAATTGGTTGTAATAAAAATTTGGAGAATGAATCTGTTCGAATTGACTTCGAATGTGATATTATATTAGACAATATTAAAGAAACAGAAGATAGTTCTTATGAAATTTTAAGAAAAATTGCTAATTTGATTGGTAATAGTGATGAATATTATTATATATATTTAAATAATTACTATTTAAAAAAAGCTGCTGAGTTATATACATTCCAATATTGTTGCTCTTAATATCAAAATTTGACAAAAAAACCAAGAAAACATGAAGATCCTAATCGGCAAAGAGATCGTGAATCAATAGAATGATTTGACTATAGTGATACTCTTCGAATTACTATAAATATGATGAATAATAGTGCTTTTATTTATCTTAAACATGAAACTTTACATCAACAGCCTAAAAGAAATCAGGTTACTAATAAAATCAAAAATAAAATTAAAGCAAATCTTCAATTAGGCTCAAGTGATATTTATAGTATAATAGAGCAAGATTTTTTAGAGATAACGCAAAAGCAAATTCATATATGATAGACAGTATTTATCCAAAAAAAGTTTATTCATGATGATGATCAAGTAAATTCAGCAAAAATTTTTTTAGAAGAATGCAATTTTTAAGTTATTATGTTCAATAATAATAATGGAGTAAAACTTTTAGATTTTTTACTTCATTTTTTGAAAAATTTAAAGAAAATAAAGAGATATTTGTGAATGCAATATATAAAATGAATGCATTGGAATATGAACTTTATTCAGTAATTAGTCAGTTCGATGGTTCAGGCTTTGTGATTGCATATTTATTTGTTGAAGAAAATAAGTAAGATGGAGTATGAACAAAAATTTTAACTAAATTTTTTAAAATACTATATAACTTAGAAATGAACAAACTTATTTATTTATATACAAATAAAGATTTCATACAGATTTTAGTAATATAGCAAACATAGATAAATATTAAGATACAACTTTGTTATTGGCATTTTAAGAAGACTTTTAAAAAGTGATTAGCAGATAATTCTTAATCAAAAAGAATAACATATAGTTCTTATGATGTATATAATTTATTTAATTTCATTAATATTAAATTTTATCCTATGGAATTACCAAAAAGCAATTTTTGATTTTGTTCAAAAAATCTATGACCTAAAGTTATTTCAATTATGGAGTATCATATACATTTGCATCCTCTTATTTCTAATTTAGAAGAGATCTTTAGTACAAAAGATGAAATCTGGACACAATGTACGAAAAAAATATATGAATTTTGTGTTATAAATAATCTTAGATACCTTTGGTCATATTTATGGACAAATTGGTATCATAATGAACCTTGACAACTTTGGGCCTGTTCTGCAATATCAGATCAAATTTGTGTTTTTCATACCACTATACTTGTCAAATCACATTGGAAAGTGATCAAACGTAACTTCTTATACAAATTCTTCTGATCACAGTTTGATCTTGTAACTTATATTATTACTTCACAACTTATTCCACATCAAGAACAACAATATTACAAATATTTTAACAATTGCGAAATTTCCTCTTGGTGTAAAAACTTTAAAAAAGAATGAATTTTATTAAAAAAAAAGGAGATCAATAATACATACATAACTGATATTAATAAATGGTTTTGCAATTGTATTAGATTCTTAATAAATTGATTTTTTTTATGCAAACACTTAGTTCAATTATTTTTATTTACTATAAACCTAACATTTTTTTATAATATTCAAAGACAAGATGTCTATCTATTTATATGCTTATCAGGCCAACAAACTTCCACATGACCATTAGTTAACACGACATTATCGTTGAATAATACATTGAATAATTCATTGTCAGGTAAAAAAAAACATAAATTTTAATAAATTTACAGCTTGTATAATTGATTAAAATTTTATTTTTTAGATGCATTTAAAGATATTACTGCCATTATAAATAATAATTTAGATCAACTTTTTAAAAATTATGAATTAATGCTACAAGACACATTATCAATTGTACAAGAACAACATGAAATTAATAATATTAAATAGGCAAAATCTGTTGAAAAAAGCTTTGAGGGTATTAATAAATTGATAACAGATGTCAAGGCATATAAAAGAAGAATGAAGAATCCAAGAATGTGAAAAGATCATAATCGGCATACTATGTTTTTGTAACTTTAAAGGTTGGTATATAATTTTTATTTTATAGTTTTATTTTAGTAAAGTATTGCTGTATTAATTTTATTAATTAATTAAGTTACTACAACATCCATTATAAATGAATGTGAACTATTAAAGAACTGATGAAAATTCTGGTATAATTTTTAGTTAAAAAATTTTTTATTAAATTCTTTAATTTAAATTTAACCTTCTTATTTTAGGATTATTATAGGCCAAATGGCTACTTAGGAAAATCTTTTTTTTTTTAAAAAAAAAAAAGAAGCTAATCACTGTACATACAATTCAATATTAATAACTTCATTGTTAATTAGTGTCTTAGCAATTTAAACAAGAAAAGTTTCACTTAGCATATGCTTACCATTGTTAATTTTCAAATGCTGTTTCTTATCAATTCAAATTTAAAAATCTAAATGTTTTTTTAATGAATTGTTTGTTGAAAAATAAAGTGCAAGCGTGAATTCAATCTGCTGTATTTCTACATCGAGATTATTAAATAAATAATTTAAATAACATACTTGAAAAGCAAGTGCATTTATACATAATTAGTGTAAATTCTAAGATCGGTATTTTTTTCAGGACGATTTAATAATTTGATTTGCAATTAGCCAATCACAGCACATAATATCACATGACTGCGCAAAAAATTTGGAGGTGCTGTTGGTGTAGTAAAATTTGACAGCGATCCTGGGAGCATAGGTGAAGATCTCTGTGATTGGCCAATATTTTAGACTACAATTTATATAGATATGATAGACGTTTGCTAAAA